AAACTAAAGTTTAGTGGATCACTAACCTTCTAGGAGCCATGTCTGAGCATGGTGGGGTGATAATTAAGCTGATGCACACCCTGTCCCGAGGAGCCCGTGGCTGTGGGCACACTGCTCCCGCAGGGCTGACACAGGCAGGCCACCACAGGGACAAGTCCGTCGGGGTCGGCGTGCGGAGGCGGCTGGACAGCAGACAGAGCCGGTCACTGCTGCTGAGCACGAGGTGGTATTGTCGTTCGCTCACTTCGTGCTTGTGCTCAGGGCACTGCTCAGCCGCCTCCTTACTGCTCTAGCTCTAGGAGGCCCGAGGCTGTGCTCTCATTTAGGGTGCCCAGGACTTAGCCCAGGGCCTGGGTCATGGCAGCTTCTAAATATGTGTCCCATAAAATTGGTATGGAAGGATGGGGAAAGTATCGCTCCACATGGACAACGAAGATGAAGGTGTTATCACACGATGAGCTGTCCTGCAGTGCTAGAGTCTGAGAGAAACCAGCCCGACTGAGAGCGAGTTACAAACAACCTACCGGGAGAGCCTTCCTGGCAGGGAACGGTAAATGTTGAGTCACGTGCCAACTCTTCGGGGCTAACATTCCCAGAATATTTGACACAAGATACTTATGTTCTCTTCATCTCCCCAAATATTCTTCTCAGGGGCTCTTTGTGCCCATAAGATAGTGCAGAGAGGTCAGACCCAGCCTGGCTTCATCCAGGAGATCTGAGCTCTAAATGCACGGCCAGCTGACAGCTGTGCAGAAATCCCGTCTCTGGGGAGCTTTTGTTCAGGCAGACTCAGGCTCCAGTTCCTAAAATAAGTGGCGTCTGCCCTCCTAGCCTGGCCCCCAAGGAGCCCTCAGAGATGCAGGCAGCGGCTCTCAGCCCTGCTGGGGACAGACCTGTCATCCTGTTCCCAGAGCCCACTGAGGGCAAGGGAGGCCAGGAAGCACCGGTGACACTTGAAAAGTCCCATGGCCCACAGCCTAGGCCCTTTGTACACCAGCTCCTAGAACCAAAGAGAAGGCCTGGAAGCAGTGCCCAGAAGCGGAGAGGCAGGAGGAAGGCCCCTGGGCTCCTGCAAGAAGTCAGGAAAACTTGCCAGAAGCAGCCAAGCTTCCATACCCTGCTGTGAAGCCTGTGGGCAGACCAGACCAGGCTCTGACTTGCTGAGGGAGCGACCCACCTGGGGAACTGCCTCCACCTGGCCCTACCACTGTAATCCCACACGACTTCCCATCTTGCTCCAAAACTGGCCCTTAGCACCAAAAAGGTCAAGGTCCTCAGCACTCTGTAAGACCACACTCATTCAGGCTCCAGACTTGGTTCCAACCTGGAATGCCATCCCCTCTACTTCTTTCCAATTCTTGGCCCAACCCCACTCAGCCACAGGCCTCCTCACTGCCCAGCAGACCATGTCACTGAGAGGCAGAGCTTGGGGTGGTCCCTCCTGCTCTCATACTCCGTAAGCATCTTCTTTGTGGGAACTGGATCCCCTCTCCTCTCTTCCTCTTTTTTTTCCCCCTATATCTACAGGGTTGGGGAATGCAGGAGGTACTCCTTCCAAATACGCATTAAATAGCTCTATTCAGCATCATGCCCCTGTGAGTAACCTCTCCTCCCACAGGTCAGTATGGGTTCCTTCATTTGTCTAGTAAGCATCTGAGTGCAGCAATGTCCCTGGCCCATGCTGCCTTTCCTGCTCCTTCCCCCATGGCAACCCCAGCAAATCATACAGCACCTGGCATGATGAACTGCCTAGTGTCTACCTTATTCCTTGTAAATGTCACAGCCAAAGGCTCCTGGAGGACAGGGCCACACAGAAGATGGCTCTGGAGTGACATATTCCAGTTAACACCTTTTGGTGGGAAGGAGTAAAATTAAACACAAAAAACTTTTTCACCTCAAGACCACAAGGCTTTCTTTGGAAAAGTGTCCTTCCATGGGAAAGAGGAACTTGCCATCTGCCTGGGAAGATGTGCAGTTGGCAGGGTGCCCCTGAGTCTCTCAGATCCCAGCAGGCCACCACTGAGCAGTCGCTCCGCCACTCAGCGAACATCCATCATGGAGGAGGCGGACGACCACAGCACTGTGGGGCTGACAGTGGCTGAAGAGTAATTTCAGGGACAGCATTACAAGCTGAGCAGAGCCCGCCTGAGCGTTTTCAGGCAAAAGGAGATGTTCTTGACTACTGACATTATTGCGGTTGAGAATTTAACAGGGAGCATAAGAGCTTAATTACTGGGCTTGTTAAAGCTACTTGATATAATATATGCTGACAATATACACTGGCAACGTTCACCTAAATGTTTTTAACAAGCAGCTGAAGACTTCTGTAATAGCACTATATTTAGCTACAGTTTAGCTCTTTTCCCAGCAGTTTCTGCCACCAAGTGGGTAACGAAGACAATGCCACCAAGGGCACCACAGGAACAGACATTGACTGTGTGCACCGACTCCCTCAGTTCCCATGTCAGAGGGAAGGGCCCCCACCAGCCTTGCCCTGACGCCCTAAAACACTTAACATTTATTCATTCTTTTAACCCTTACAATACTAGGATGTGGGTACCGTTATTACCCCCATCTTATAGACTGGGAAATGAAGGCAAAAAAAAAATCAGTAACTTGCCCAAAGCCATACACAGGAAGTAAGTGATCAGGCCAGCAGTCAAACCCAGACCTCCTGGTTCCAAAGCAATGTCTTCACCTGTCCCCATTGCCTCTCCCCACCTATCCCTCACAAGGAAGGGCCTTTTGAGTGTGCTTGTCCTGTGTGCACCATCACCAAGCTCAAGGCAGGGAATGATTGATGCCAGCCAGCAATGTCACTACAGTTACAAAAAAGAAGCTCCCCATAACTGGAAAGGTTTCTATCTATAGTTTTGGTTCAGTGTTGAGAACAAGGGCCTGCACTTCTGAAGGTCGGCGAGCTCACAGGAAGGCTCTGCACAGCTGCTGCTGGCTCCATGAGTGCTCCTGCACTAACGAGGCCACAGCTTCTCTGGGGGGGGCCAGCCAGTGGGACCTGACTACTAGAACCTGTACCTGCAGGTGGGGGCAGAGGCAGTCCTGAATTCTAGCACTGTTCCAGGGGCACCTCCAAACCACGTCTTGTAACTACTGGCTCTGACACAGCTTCATCTAGTTTCACGGCTAACCTCCTGGCATGCTGTGACATGGGGCTGGTGACCTGTTTGACTGTCACTCTTGGTGTCTTAAGTGAAATACTTCCTAGGCAGATATGCCTCTCCAGCTGCTGAAATTTGAGCTGGGTGCCCCCCTCACCCCTCCAGAAGGATGCCACCAGCCGAGGGGTGGCAGCAGAGAGGACCTGCATGCTCTGTGCCTTTCCACATTTACTTCTGCTGTGGCAGAAGCCAGCTCCTGGAGGGCAGGGACTTGGTCTGCCACATCCCTTGCCTAGCACACTGTAGGTACTCAGTTAACACATAATTTTAACAAAGGTATTCGGCTAAAAGTCGATGATCTTTTGTCCAATACATAGGGGAAAAATGTGTTGACAGAATTTTGAGCTTCTTGTCCATCTTTTTTTAAACTTGGGCAACTGTGATCACTTGTCTATGTCACAGTATCTATCACTGATCATTTGTTTATAAAATGACTTCATGCTAGTCCCCAGTAAACACCAGGGCATCACCCTCATCTCTTCTACTACTGGAGCCTCCTGTGTCACAGAAGCATCCACGTGGGTGCTGCCATCCATGTTCTTATCTTGTCCTGGCAGCCCTCCTTAAAGGCCAACAGTATCCCCCACTTCACAGATGAAGATCGCAACGCTCAGATCAGTTGAGCAACTTGCCCAAAGTCACACAGCCAGCATCAGCACAGCTGGAATCAGAGCTCAGAGTTTTCTAACTGCAAAGCCTCCTTTTCTTTCTTTTTTTTTTTTGAGACCGAGTCTTGCTCTGTTGCCCAGGCTGGAGTGCAGTGGCGAACTCTTGGCTCACTGCAACCTCCGCCTTCTGGGTTCAAGCAATTCCCCTGCCTCAGCCTCCCAAATAGCTGGGGTTACAGGTGCCTGCCACCACGCCCGGCTAATTTTTTGTATTTTAGTAGAGATGGGGTTTCACCATGTTGGCCAGGCTGATCTTGAACTCCTGACCTCATGATCTACCCGCCTCGGCCTCCCAAAGTGCTGGGATTACAGGCGTGAGCCACTGCTCCCAGCCATGCAAAGCCTCTTTCTGTGAAGGCCAGGAAAGCTCCAGGGATTTTGCCACACGGACAAAATTAGACGAAAAATTGACCTCCTATAGTCTCAGCTGCTCACTAGGCTGAGGTGGGAGGATGGCTTGAGCCCAGGAGATCAAGGCTTCAGTGAGCCATGATGGTGCCACTGCACTCTAGCCTGCACTCTCAAGACCTCAACTGTTTAAAAAAAAAAAAAAAAAAGATGGACTTTCCATTAACTAGCAGGCAGGAAAAGTAAGTGGGACTCAGGAACAATGCCCTCCGCCCCCACAAAAAAAAACACAAAATAATCTAATCAGGAAGAGAGCCACTCACAGGTACAAACTGGCAGCAGATGCTCAAACAAGTTTGAAGGTGTTTGGGCCTCTGGCCACTTGCCTGTGCTGTCCAGCGTGATGTCAAATCACAGCCCTCCGTGTTTCTACATAAAACTCAACAGTAAAGTGCCTCGTAGGATAAGCTGAGCAATTAGCATCTGTCTCTCCCACCCACATCATGGCAAACATAAAAAGGAAGGTGATCGCCAAGACCTTTCATAAACACCCCTAATCTCTTTAAGTATCAGACTTTCCTAGCAAGGTAAGTTTACTGCCTTCGATGATGGCTAAGGCATACCTGAACTGCCTAAAAACAAGGGTCCACACCTTTTCTGCTACTATCTAGGTCTGACTACAAATCCCTGGCTGGTTTTGGGGTATGTTCACCTCATTTCCCAACCTCCACCAAAAAAACCAAAGGGCCTGCCAGACACTGTTGGCCTGGCCACTTCATTCACTGGAAGAAAGCAGGTGCATTACCTCCCAGAAGCTGTCGCTGGACACTTCTACTCCAACGGAATCATCATACGTGACAGACATTTCTTCAAAGGCTGAGGGAGCAGCAAAGTATACTTAGGGATCAACTTCGGATGCTCAAAATCTGTAGACAAACCTATGAACGAAAAACATATATCATAGTGGTTTTTAAATGCCCAAGGTAAAGAAACAAGTCATCTCTATTTCACAACTTCCCATTTCTAATCACTGCCTTCAGTACCGGGTGGTCTATAATATTTCCTTTAGGTGGGAGAAAGCCAGTAGACTCTAACCAACTCTGGGCGGATATGTGTATGTCTGTGTGTGCATGGTGGGTGATGGGGGCAGGGGGTGCATGTGCGTAAAATCAGGCAGAGCCCCTGGATCTCTGGGCTAGCCCATCCCGGCCTACTCTACCTAACTGGTAGGGCTAGGACCTGGAACAAAACACGAGTGAAGGTCATCCCACCTGTGACACCCGACTCCCCTCTCCAGAGTGTCTACCACATTCCACTTGTGTTGAGCACCGTCCCCACTCAACTCTACCTTTACTGACTCAGCCACTGAAGCCCCAAATTCAGACCAGTTTATTCTGACACTGTGTGTGGCTCAGCTGTAAAGCTAAACGGATCACTTCTGAGGAACAGATTCAGCAATCTACAATCTAGGCAAGGGTAAAGGTGGCAATTATTTCCCCTGCTGGAGGGAAGAAACTGAAAGACTCCCATAAGCACAAACCACACCTTGCTAGTGTGATGACCTGTCCACAGCCAAGATGAAACTGTCTGACTTTTTGGTAAAAAGGTGACCCCATCTTTCTTTACCTTACCCTGTGTTCAGAACACACAGCCAGAGATCTGAGACCTTCCTCACTGCCACAGACAACAGTCCAAAGCCTTAGCTTAGCAACAGGAAGGGGTGAGACAGTGGCCAACTTGTTTTGAGCACCAACAAGGTGCAAGACTTTGTTCTAGGTCCTGTTCCATATGTTATCACATGACTCTTCATGATTCTCTGTGAGACAACCTGGAATTGTAGTAAGAAACACAGACTCCAGAGTCAGGCTGCCTAGGCTTGAATTCCAGACCCATTACTTACGAGCTGGGCAACAGTGGGCAAGTTATCTACCCTCTCTGTGCCTCGCGTGCCTTATCTGTAAAAGAGAGACAACAGCCGGGCGCAGTCACGCCTGTAATCCCAGCACTTTGGGAGGCCAAGGCGGGCAGATCACCTGAGGTCAGGAGTTCGAGGCCAGCCTGACCAAGACAGAGAAATCCTGTGTCTACTAAAAATATAAAATTAGCTAAGCGTGGTGGCACATGCCTGTAATCCCAGCTACTAGGGAGGCTGAGGCAGGAGAATCGCTTGAACCCAGGAGGTGGAGGTTGCAGTGAGCCGAGATCATGCCATTGCACTCCAGCCTGGGCAACAAGAGCAAAACTCCATCTCAAAACAAAAAAGAGACAATAATGGAACCTACAATAGAGAACTGCTGTGAGTCAAATACACACAAGAGCTTAAAACAATACTTGGCCCTTAGTAAGTGCTACGACCTCACTAAGTACCGTTATATACCCTTAGTAAGTGCTATGAACATAGTAAATAATGAATTGTTGCCACTATTATTATAATATAGTAATTATCATTACTATCATTACTTCTGTCTCTATTTTAAAGTCAAGAAAATTGATGTTCAGTAATTTGTCCACGGTTGTCCAAGTAATGGGTGGTGGAGACTAGTATTCGACACCAGCTCTGCCTGCTTGCTAAGGTAATATTCTCTCCATGACATCCAGATGTTTTCCAAAAACAATCTCAAAGTTAAGTAAATCAGGCTTCCCATAACCTACAATTGGATCGCTAATTAAAAGGGCTTAATCTGGTGGATTGCAGAGCTCCTAAAGGTAAAACACTGCTGTGTAGCAAGAGAGACAAAGTCCGCAACAGATGACGGTACTTCAAAGCCAAGTCCGACAAAGACATTGCCGCCGTGAGGAGACAGCTGCAGGACTAAGATGCGTGCCCGATCCTAACCAGGCTCTCATGGAGAGAACTCCAGCAAGGGGTTCTCCCACGCTGGTTGGGGCTCTGCTCCATAATCATAGGGGCAGCGTGTCATTTGAACCACTAGGATTCACAAAGGCTGGACAGGCCACTTGGCCTGGGCCCTGATGCCACCTCTCACAGCAATTTTTTCTTTCTTTTTTTGAGGTGGAATCTGGCTCTGTTGCCCAGGCTGGAGTACAGTAGTGCAATCTCAGCTCACTGACACCTCTGCTTCCCAGGTTCAAGCAACTCTAGTGTCTCAGCCTCCCCAGTAGCTGGGATTACAGGCATGCGCCACCATGCTTGGCTAATTTTTGTATTTTTTAGTAGAGATGGGGTTTCCGCCATGTTGGCCAGGCGGTCTCAAACTCCTGACCTCAAGTGATCCACCCACCTTGCCCTCCCAAAGTGCTAGGATTACAGGTGTGAGCCTTTTTTCTATGGACTCCTATGCTACTAGCCAGGGTCCTCCTGGAGTTGCCTCACCCCATGTTTCAGCAGCAGAAAGTTTTCTACCCGGAGCAGCTGGTCTCTGCTCCAGGCTTCTCAGGGAATAGCAGGGCTTTGGGCTCAGGTGAGTCTCAAAGTGGCCCCATCAAGCTGCCAGCTGGGCTGCCTGGCCAGCCATGGGAGAAGCTGCAGTGAAGAGCAGGCCCCTGCTGCGGACTGAGAGGCAGCTTGACACCTGAGCCACTTGGGCAGAGGAATTCAGATTCTGTCTGGAGGCAGCTGGACGCAGTTTTGCACAAGACTGATTGACGGACTGACTGACTGGTTGACTGACTGACAAAGTGTCTTGTCTGTCATCCAGGCTGGAGTGCAGTGGCACGATCACAGCTCACTGCAGCCTCGAACTCATGGGCTCAAGCAATCCTCTCGTCTCAGCCTCCTGAGTAGTTGGGACTATAGGCATATGCTACCATACCCAGCTAGTTAAAAAAAAAAATGTGTGTGTGGAAACTGGGATGTCACTGTTGCCCAGGCTGGTCTCAAACTCCTGGGCTCAAGCGATCCTCCTGCCTTGGCCTCCCAAATTGCTGAGATTACATGAATGAGCCACCACACCGGGCCTAAGATTTAAGAGCCCACTTAAGTGCCAGGAGCCAAGGAGAGGCTCAGCACAGTGGTCAGCCTTTAGGAGTAAGAGCCTGAATCACTGAGCAGAGAGGTAATATAACCAAGATCATGGGTCTGCCAAGGGCATCAGACAGGATATATGCTCTTAGCTGACCAAAAGGAACAAGGAACAACCAGCAAGGGAAAGGGACATTCTCCGGTCACATGGTGGCAGAGCTGGGAAAGGCCCATACTTGTTCACTTTCCTTCTGTCTGGGACCATCTGTCTGGGATCTCATCACAGCACTGTACGCAGCAACAGTGACATCCTATAGAATGCCTTCAGGTGCAACGAGGGACAAGCGTACCCCACGGGCATCTTCTGTGGCCACAGCTCAATCTGTGATGCCATCAGCTCAACTATCCCCATGTGCATTACTTAGAGTTCATCTTAATGCTCAGCCAGCTGCTCCCTGCCACAAATCTGTCACCTCCCAACTTAGACATTCTCCAAGATTATATACATCTTTATTAAGTAAACAGAATTAGGAAGACACATCTCTTTTTATAAAATGGCACAAGGCATTTCAGACCCAATAGAAATGACTTTAGGAAGCTCTGCACCACCACTTCAGTTCTTGAGCTGGAATAATTCATAATCAACTACACTTTCATCTGAACCCTCTAAGCACATCTTATACAAGGTCTCATTGAACTGTGCAGTTAGAATCTAGCAAAGATATCTGAAGCCCTAAGGGGACAGTGAGGCAAGGTATAGAAAACCCAAAGAGACAGAGACTGTGAGGGGAAGAAATGAAAGTCCCCTGCCCAAAGAGTCAGTGAGGTAATGCAGATGAGGTGCCCACGGCGAAGGCCTGGGACGGTGGAAGGCGGGAAATCCCAGCTCTACCACAGGCCAGCTGGGTGACCTCAGAAAGCCATGTCATTTCTCTGAGCCCCAGTTCCTGAGTTGTGCTTTACCAGCTCGTTTAACGAGTGAAGGTTAAATGAGATGAAGGTTTCAGTACCCCCAGGTCACAGGCCATGGCAGGGCCTCCCTCAATGGGAGCATTGTCCTTGGTCCGCACCCTGGGCTTCAAAGTGTCCTTGCTACTTCCTTCAGCTCCACAGTCACAAGGAATGCAGGTAAAGGGGAGGACCTGGGGGACAAGAATCTGCACCAAAAAGAAAACCCAACTGATAGTACAACCGTGGCAAGCTGGGAACTCATTTCTGATGTTCACAGAGCAACAACCTGTGGGGGGGTAGAGGGTGGGGGGGGGGGCTTGAGCGCAGGCACTGAGCTGAGTTCTCAATGACAACTCCTAAGTCCCCTCTCTCCTGCCCCTGCTCTGGGACATGAGCAGCAGGGGCCCTGTCCAACCACCTCGTCCCTCCCATGGAGCCCCGCACCAGCCTCAGCATATGGGACTCTCCAGGCTCCCCGCTCTCACTGTGATGAGCCTCCCTTTCCTCTCCCAACCACATTGCACACCTTGCAGTTCGCTCTATGGCTCCTCCCATCCCTCCCAGCACTGATCTGTGGAACTCCCATGACTTCAAATGTCATCCATGTGCAGGGACACACCAGCAGCTCTCAAGAGGCAGCCTCTCAACCCAGTAAGAAGGCGATTTCCGCGCAGGCACGGAGAAGGTCCAGCAGTGACGTTAAGTCACCTGGCACACACCTGACACTCTAAAAGTGATAGCCATTGTTCTTAGAATCACCAGAGCAAGCCACCCAAAGGTTCTGAGAAATGTTGATGACTGAGACTGGGTTTGATTTTTCCCATCATTGTTTCTACTGGGATAAGCACTTTTGGTGAGGCTGCCACCTACCACTGTGACCTTGCCACCAGCCCTCCCTTCTTCAACAACAAAGAGGCCAGTCATACCCACCCCTATGGCGACTCCTCATGTGCCAGACGCTGTGCCCCATGCACTACATGCATGCACTCCATTTAGTCCTAAGAACTCTATGGGGTAGCGGTTTCGCCATGGGCAGTGTCAAAGCAAGGAACCTGGGGCACAGAA